CGTGTGTTCCAGGGGCGGGGAAGCAGAAGATGCTGGGCCAGAAGGGCGCCCGCAGCGCCCCTATCCCCTCCCGGGGTCGGGTCTGGGGGTGCCGCCTCCTCTCAGGCTAAACGTGTGCCCCAAAGTGTTACGGGGCTGGTGGGGATCCCCCGGCTGGGCTGGGGGGTGCTGGGCGGGAGCTGGGCCAGGGGAGATGTGCTCTGCATTAATCGCCGAGTCGTCTCATTGGAAAGGACCTTGGCGATCGTTGAGTCCGACCGCTGACCTGAGTGCGCTGGGCACCACCGGGGCTCCTTCTCCTGCAGAGCCCCTCTGGTTTGGGAGGGCTGGCCGGCACGGGGGGGCCCCTTCTGCCTTCTGCTGGGGCTGCTGGGCTGGGCAGAAATCCCCCGCGCCTGCCCTTCTGGAGGGAGATCTCCCCTCCCAGCACAAGCGTCTCTCATCCCTCAGAGTTATTTTTCCTTTCAAGTGTTCTCATCCAAGCTCGTCTTCTTTTATTTATTGTTGCCTTCCCTAATTAAAACCTTTTGGATTATGCCCCTGCAAGCTGAGCGCTTCTTGCAGCTGTGTGCCAGCGTACAAACCCCATTTCTATAGCAGGATCGACCCGTTGGGAAGGGTGAGGGGCTGGTGGGGGCGGCTCGGTCTTTTGCTCGCCCTTGGCTTCTGCCTTATTTTGAGAAATAGGGTCTGGTTTGAGCCTGTGTTTCCAGTTTCAGTTTTGCCTTTTTTTCTCTTATTCTTTTTTTTTAATATAAAAACGACGGTTGCCAAAGTGGAAACGAAAGGCTCCCTTTTGCTCTGAATGAGTAATTCCTCTCCCTTTTGAAAAAAACCAAACCAAACCTCCACGTCTCCTGTTTGTAGCGCAGGAAGACGGAGATCCTGTGCCTCCGCAGCCCGATTTTAAATACACCCCAAAGGCGTACGGTACGCACATCGCCGCCGGGGAGGATAAACCTGAGGAAAGCATCTTCGTCTGAGAAGTGAGCGCCAACACTAGAGCACCGGCAGAGGCCTCCCCATGTGTGGCTGGAATTCTAAGCGCTCGCGGAGAGGCACGCGAGCCAAAGGCGCCGCCGCCGAGCGCTCTAATCGCGACCGCTAACAAGGGCAATTTTTTTCCTTTGCGTGTGTGGCGAAGATAAATGGAGTTTGTTTTGCAGCCTATTCTGTTTTCCATTTCCTGTGTCATAGCAGAAGGAATTTGTTGTTCATTGATACCTTAGTACATAGGTTGTTGGGGAGGTTTGGTTTTTTCCTTCTCCCGCCGAGGAGGAGGACAATGTCCCCTTCACTTCTGCATGAATGGGGTCGTTCATGCCCCGGCCCCTCCGGAAGTCATTCATTTCGCCCCGCGACAGCTGCAGGGCCCGTTTGTGTAGGAGGGCTCAGGCGCTTGGCAAGCCCCTGGCCCTGCCTCGCTCCCTGTGCCCAGCGCCGGCCGCTCCTGCGCGGCGCCTTCGGAAGGGGCTCGCAAAAAACCCC